ATTTTTTTCTTTTCCTCTTGTCATTAGTGAATCAAAGGGTCCAAGAGTCATCAGTCACTTTTATATTCAACAGAATTTCATCTAAGACTGAACAAACACAAAGACCTGTATCCACGAATTTCTGCTCCAAAGAATGTATCTTGATTCTGCTGTTCCAGTATTTCTCACTTACATTTAACTTGTGTATGGGAGAAGTGTCCCATGAATTCCTTCAAAATTCCTAGTGATTTTTCTTCACTCTCGTGAGAAAAGACTGAAATTTTCAGATTTATTCTTGCAATGATCCTCCTAAGAAAAAATACTGAAAATACTAAAATAACAGAAAATGTAGAAATACTAAATCAGCGCAAATAAGATGCATTATTCCTTTCAGTGAGAGAAAACCCCTCTGGGCAGCAAACTGTGCCCTTATTCACAATCCATTAAAAATCAAATTGATAAAGGGCATTTTTTTCTCTTCCTAAGTTAATGCTACTTGTAGCTCTCTAACTACTTTCAATGCTTTCTTGTTAAAAAATGCATAAAATACTAGAAAACAGCTCCAATTTGTCGATTAATCTGTATGAAAATATCTTTCCTTTCCTAGTAAGTTCACTTCTTACTTCAGGCTGATACACCTCAGGGCACATACCCTAAAAGTGATGTATAAGTGAGCAGCAAAGAAATTATGTAACAGTAGAAAGTTGTGTCAGTGCTACTTCATTTAATATCGTTTAGCGTTCACAATACAATGTGAAAATTGTCATCAGCAAAACTTTCGTTTTTTTGTTCTTGTTCATGATCTACTCTTTGTCAAATCTAATTCAATAGCCTTTTGTCGATAAACATATTTATTTATTCATCAATGTACTTATCTGTTTCATTATTTGGCCATTCAAATATGCTTCGTCATTTAATGTGTGCATGCATAATACATACTCTGCAATGGTGCCTTAGATTTGTTTTCTAGAGTTTCAACCATCTTAGATATTATTGATCAGGTATTGTTTCAATTGCTCAATAAAATTAAGCTGGATCTGTTATTCAATCAAATCTTTCATTTTTGTTCCTCATGATTTCGTCATTCAATACATCCAATAAGTATAAAACGAGAAGTTATTTTTCATCGACGAAGGGACCTCAGCCCACAGTGGCCAAGTTATCAGTACAGTGATTTTTGTTGACTTAGATTGAGGAATTGGATTCTGACATTTTGATAGAAATCTCTCTCCACTGTCGCACACATTGAGTTGCAAGAGGATTCGTTAATTTTTCTGCAAATAGGGGCTGTGAGATTTCATTTTATTCCAAGAATTCTGTTTCCTAAACACAGCACAGCAAATTTTGTTAAAACTACGTTTTTTGAACCGGAAATCCTCAGATCACCATAATTCTGGTTTGGTTCGACATTTTGGTGAAGGGGGGAGGGGGGGTTGTACTACAATGTTCTGAAGATGTTCCTGCATGCTCTGATATTAATAAAATCCAAATTCGTGTTATTTGTGGGCTTAGGTTCCTTTTTTCAAGTATGGTCACATGTTAAAAAATTTGGAGTTGGGAGAATTGCTGGTTCAAAACATTTGAGAGCATCCTATTCAATTAGTAGTATTTTAAAAGTTAGTTTTTGTTCCCTTTTTCAAGACACATCATTGCATATCGTAGACAATGTTGATTGGACGTTTAAAGCAGGAGCTTCGTTGAGAAAAAGTGAAACTTATTGCTCAATAAGTGGTATTAGTAGGAACTTCATCGGGAAAGTAACGCGTCTGTGGTCACAAAAATTGTTCTAAAAGCAGGATATTCAGTGAATTTAAAACGGAAATGTAGATTGAATTGTATCACATCGGAATTTATTTTGTCTTAAATGTAGTATTTGTAGCTTACTAAATTTGCGCTAATGAAACAATCATTTTCAAAATCTTTTCTTTAAAAATTTGAGGGAATGAATTTTAGAAGCTTCATAACGCTTTTTTCATTCGTCATTCGACTCTAAATGAATTCTTTTAAGGCAACAAATGACGTGACGTTATTGTCCGTGGCTCCCTATAAAGTTGACTATTTGGCACAGTCATTTGGAATGGGACAAATGGAAGAGTTACTTTATTCAAACAACCCTCTGAGTAGTTGGATTGATAAAATGATGAAGGTTGCCATTAATCAGCCGGAGCGTGAATTCAAATTTCGCGGTAGTGCGATGGACGGTGAGTCTGTGCCAACGGTGGCAGTTTTTTCGCGGGAAATGATCGGTTTTGTTTACAAATTGTCATTCACGTTCGAACTTGTTAGCCGTTTGTCCCGCAAACCTTTTTACGGAGAGAAATATCTGATAAGCCTCCAAATCTTCGGATCTAATTTGCTGTTGCTTCGATTCTCTATCTTTTCCGCAATCTTAATAATTTGATCGTATTCGAGGGTCTTATCAAAGTTTTAAGATAGTTCAAGTGCATACCTCATTGAGTGCTCGAGGTGTTAGGGTCGAGCCGCCCTTATTATCGTGCTGAATTATCTATAAATTACGTAAGTTTTTATCACTTTCACTGTCCCTTCCAATAGAAAAACATTCCAAAAGCTCAAATTTGTGCATCTGTCACCAAATTTTCTCTCTACCATTGGTGAGGCTTGCCTTCTCAAAGTTCTTTGACCTCTCCTCATCATGTTTCCGGATCATTTCTCAACAGTTTCTTTACTTTTTATGCTTTAGATTCTATTCCTTCTTGCGTCTCACCACCATGGCCGCGACTTCTGCTGAATATGTGCCCACTCAGCTCGTGGAAGAGGATGCTGATGATTATGGACCACAGTCTATTACCAAACTTGAGGTAAGCGAGCTTTAATTTTTTACTGCTGAGTGCCCTAACGCCTGTAGCGGACATTACCATCCATGTTACTTAGTTTGATCTTTAAAACATGTGAAATCACAGTCTATTTCAAGGGTTAGGAAATAGGAATTCTCACATGTAGGAATGTGGAGTCCTTATGATGTTCAAGCTGTCGGGTACTTAGCCCATACCAAGCTACCATACTTAGTTACAGGTACAAATTTCTCATTCCTTGTCAGTGTCCTTGTTATTAGGGCCTCCTGCCATACTCTAAAGAATTGATATGTTTATTCAACGATTCCCCTACTTTAGCCTTGAGGATTAATCTTGTGGAGGTGGTTCCCATGAAAGCACACACCTTTGTTTTCCTTCATTTCAGCTGTCACCTAAGTATAAAGAAGTTCAATGGACAAAATAGAGTCTGTGTCAGCTCTAAAATGTATCCAATCAATGGTGAAAGTAGCAAGTAACAGTAAAGATTTGGAAACACTGGATTTGAGATGTAAATGTTTTCTAAAATGTATGCTATTGACTTAGGTACCTATGAAAGCTTGCTGAAAATTAATGCTCTGATGATGGACAATGTTTTTCGGCATTCTATTCCATCTCATGCTTCTTACTCTCAAAAATAATAAAAATGCTTTGTATTATTGTATTTAATAACGAGGGACTCGAGGCAATGGAGCAACGGCTAAGTTTTTCTACCATGGATTAGAACACGTCACTGATACATGACCCAAGGGAATAAGTAATTTAATATCTCCAAATTCAGCAATTTTTATCATCTTAGTAAGAAGAGAGTTTTTAAATAATTTAATCAGTAGTAGTGTACTTGTTACTTTATACTGCTTTATTTTTGCTAAAATTTTCCATTCCATAGAAAATTTTGCCACAAACTTGGAAAACCTGGAATATTGCGAAAAGTCAAGATTTTTCCAGAGGTATAAGTTTTTGAGGGATGCTGTTACCTACTGCTGTTTTAAACATGAGTTTTAGCTTCAGTATGTTTTCATCCGTTCAGCATATTTTTCCTTTGATTGAATCTACCCCTTTCACGCTGATAGGCTTATCATAAATCTTGCTGGTAACAGATTGCTTTCAGAAAATCTGTCAACGTAATGAAGAAATCTCTAATATCACTTCTCTTTCTGTAGGGTCAAGGCATTAGTGCCTCAGACATCAAGAAATTGCAGGAAGCTGGTTATCACACCGTTGAGTTAGTTGCTTTTGCCCCAAAGAAGAGTCTAATCAGTATCAAAGGCATAAGTGAAGCGAAAGCTGATAAAATTCTGGTAAGTTTCATAATTAATTTAATCCTTTCTGGTCAAGATTCTGATCAATGGTATTATGGATTAATTATGGAATTATGGATTAATGGTTCTGGCATTTTTGCCTCATAAGCAAATGTCTAATTTATTGATGAAAGATACAATTTGCCTAACTTTTTTCACAAGGAAAAAAATTCTTCAATTTTTGATGAAATAACCTCACTACTAAAGATTTGCTTATTGTTTGCTGTGATCCTAGAATCAAGAGACTGGGCATTTTCCCAGCCTTGTCAATGACTGGAGCCCAATTCCTGTATTGCTGAGCTAAGGAAAAATGCTGCATGAACATTTATGAGTTGCCAATTTTTTTCCAATAAATTGTGTATTCTTAAGGAATCATGATCATTTCCTCTTGAAATTTTCAGATAATTTAGATTTGACCATGTATAAAATTCTCTGAAAAATTGGAGGAAAAAATTCCTAGATTTCCCTGAAAATTCGTAATTTATCTAAGGGAATTTGGCAACATTTTAAGGCTCATATGGCATTCTTCCTTAGCAAAGGAGTGTAACTCTCCTGTGAAGATTATAAGAAAAATCCAGAATTTTAAAATCAAGCATGTTGAATAAGTTCTTTCCCCTAAATTATTTATCTGCCAATGTCTTTCTGTGAAGTTCTTTTCAACAAATTTGTTCTGTTGAAATAGGCTGAAGCATCAAAACTTGTTCCCATGGGATTTACAACTGCTACGGAATTTCATCAAAAACGTTCGGAGATCATTCAGCTGACAACTGGCTCCAAGGAACTAGACCGGCTTCTCGGTGGTGGAATTGAAACTGGATCCATCACAGAAATTTTTGGGGAGTTCCGAACTGGGAAAACTCAGATTTGTCACACTTTAGCTGTCACATGCCAGGTACATCTCATCTTATTTATGTGTTTCCACTTTCATTATTTCACCTTGGCCAGTGTTTCAATGATTATTTAAATACACCGGCAATGGGAGGAGTATGTTTGTAGATGATAAGAGTTGCAGGTTCATAGAAAATTATTTCCCTTTGAATTCAGAACCTCACCTGGAACTTGGAAAAGAATTCAAATCAATGGTGAAAGGTACAAAACACATTTCTTAATATTGTAAAATTTACAGATTTATGCTTTTGTAATGTTCCAAAATCATTGATGTTATTTCATTTCCTCTGAGGAATAAACCAATGAACGGTATCGTTTGAAATTTTTGCTGAATAGTTTTCACTGGATGAAAAAATTTGGCCAAAATTCCAGAAAATGGCAATTTTCTGTTTTCTTGTGTAAGAATAAAATGTGACTGTCTGCAACATTGCAAATCAAGATGTGTGTCTCAACTTTAACAATTGTTCCCGAAATATGATAAAAAAAAATAGGAGGCAGAAGACTGAAAAATTTTCATTTTTCTTTTGTCTTACCTAACATGATCTGCACTATATTTACTTTATCCTCTTGTAACATTTCTTGTTGTGAGATATTTAGTTTGCACTTCAAAGACTTAAGCTCTGCTGAGGAGTGCCAATTTTTTCTTACACTCCATATAGCATGAAAAGGCGTGCAATTTGGAGGTGATAACAGTATGATCCGCAACACCAGAAAATTGAGCATTGATTGTAGTTTACTGTTACAATTGCTCAAATCTGACCTTTTTATTTGTTCTGGATGTAAGTTTTAAATGGAAGAGCAGCAAAAATGTCTCTGTTGCTAAAGTGTGCCTCAATTTTGGCATGGGATTTCTAGCCGCACAATGGAAGTGTGAAACCAGGGTCCAGAGGTGCTGAAAAATTAGAATGCCGGCCTCACCTAGGATTTAGGATTTGTTTTCCCAACTTTTCTGCCTTTTTAAGAATGTAGCAAAAAGTTAAGAAGTATGTACTGACTAAAAATTAAGGAATAATTCAGCATGCTCAAATTTTGCAAAAAGACAGAAAGTACCTGCTGACTGAAGTTCAACCAATATTTTTGCGCACAAAGGTAACAAGTTCATGACAAATAAAATCCAATACATTTTTAATATGCACTGCAGGTGCAAAAAAGTAGAAAGTTTTTTAAAAAAAAGAGTTTCAGTAGAATTTTGGAAAGTTTCAAAATTTTTTGGGAGGTCGTCGGTATTTTTATCAATAGCCTTGAAATCAGCACCAGGTGATGAGCGTCAGAAGACGGAGCTTTCCAAGTAATCCCATTCTTTTGTTTTTATTTTTCAGTTGCCTATCGACCAGAATGGAGGTGAAGGAAAATGCTTGTATATTGACACTGAAGGCACTTTCAGACCTGAGCGTCTGGTCGCTGTTGCAGAGAGGTACAATTTGGTCCCAGCAGATGTCCTTGATAATGTTGCCTATGCTCGAGCGTACAACTCAGATCATCAGACTGATTTATTGAACTATGCGTCTGCCATGATGAATGAATCAAGGTAAGATTTTTTTTATTTATTTAAAGATTGCTTCGCTGCAGTTTGAAAGTTGGTAAGTATTTGCTTTTAGAGATTTAATTTACAGGAAGTGTGAAAAATCACCGCCAGGGAAGGAGATTTTTGAGTTATGTACAAGGATGCAGTTGGGATCCAATCATAGTTTAATACTAGGGGGCTACGCCCCCTGGCCGCTACGCGGCCCAACCCCCTGAAGGCGCTCCGCGCCATCAAAGGGCCGCGAAATTTTTACCCTCCTATCAGTGTTAGTTTTATTTTTCCCCTAAAAAAATACAATATGAGGTATACTTTAATTTTAAACTTTACTTAAAATTACTTTAAAATTAAAAGGACGCGTTTTGGAATGACTGCTTGATGAAATATTGCAGTAAAACAATGAACAACGATAGTCAGGTGAAAATCAAGATTTCATAAGTTGGGGATCGAACCCACAATGTGATCAAAGCGGACGCATTTGACGTCGTTAGACGACTTGGCCACCGCTCGACATGAAGTCGCAGGTGCGAATCTTTTGTAGATAAGTGTAGAGCTGATGCGCAGGCTACCCAGCTGCGCAACCTCCTCGACCATTGCGAATCCTCCCGCGCATAGCGGTAGCAGTACCGGAGCATTCTGTAAACTCACTCACTTTTATAACGTGATTTTAAAAAACCTGGGTCCTATTTCCAAAATTTGATTGCAGCGGGCTCATTTAGGGCCTATTACCTGTCGATTTACGCAAAAATCATGGAAATCGGCCCGGTAGAACGCTCAAACGAACTATGACAAAAAGTATAAATTTACATTGTTTAAATGGGAGAATTCGCAACTTTACCATGTAATATGAAAAAACCTGGGCCATATTTTGAAAATCTGAAAAGAGTTGACTTATCTAGAGGCAATTGCCCGTCGATAGCCGCAAAAATCATGAAAATCGGCCCGGTAGAACGCTGGAACTAAGCGTCATCAGTTTCGCAAAATTAGGAGGTCTTGGAGCTTATAGTATAAATGACTTTTCTTCATTGCTAGGTATGCTTTACTGATCGTTGATAGTGCTATGGCCTTATATCGAACCGACTACTCAGGAAGAGGAGAACTCTCTGCCAGACAAATGCACCTTGCCAGATTCCTCCGAGCTTTGATGCGCCTAGCTGATGGGGTGAGTATTTTTACATTCAGATTAAATCTGTCAGTGGATAATTGTTGGTTCATTTTTAAACATATCAATTGAATTATGTGACACTCAGTTTTTGAAAAGTGTGTTGATATAAATTCAGTCAAAGTACTTGATACAAAAAGGGCAAAATATTAGGTAACTGATACAAAATTTCTCATCAAGTCTCATCTTTTCATTCACAAAAAGGATACAAATACTTTATCGTCATGAACAGTTAATCACAGAATTGCTATTTTGAAGACTTTCCTTTCAGGTACTGTATTAAATTTTTAGCTCTGAAGTTATGAAATTTCGCAGTTCGCCAGAATTTTTCCTCCTCTGCAATTTCTCATATCCAATCTTCCTTTTTTTCAGTTGTGTTTTGATCCAACAGTTTCCTCCTACCTTTCAAGGTTTCATTAATTGACATAAGTCCAGCATTACATTGTCAAAAGCAAATCATCTCTTTAAATAAATAGCTGGACACATCAAAGATCTTCTCATTCTTTTTAGTTTTTCTCAATAATGCTCGTACAATACGGATTTCTCTAAAATGAAAAGTATCTAAAAAAAATTTTCTCATTCATTCTTCTAAATGATAAAAAAAGCCAGCAAGCGAGTTTTTTTTTTTCAAATGTAATGATCAAGTATATAATATTTTTTAACCCTGTTTCTAATTCACAGTTTGGTGTGGCTGTTGTTATAACAAATCAAGTTGTAGCTCAAGTCGATGGTGCTTCTCTTTTTGCTGCCGATCCAAAGAAACCAGTAGGAGGCAACATAATGGCTCATGCTTCCACCACTAGGTAAGCATTTATCTTCTTTTTTGAGTGTGTGGTTGCTAGTCTTCTAAAATATTGTCAGTAGTATATCTAACAGCCCAATTCTTGGCAACAATAACTAGTAATTGTCTGTCCAATTGTTTTAGTTATTTTGCTGGAATGCATGTTACCTAACTTGATCATTTCCGAAGCGATTATGATGAGATTTTTTGTTGGTTGCTCCAAGCCAAAACTTCAAATTCACCGAAGTTTTGAAAAGTTTTCTTTTTAAAAAAATTCAATAAAAGTTGAAATCTTGAATACATACCAATGGAGAATTTACAGGTGTCTGAAAAGTGATTAATGGACCACTAGACAAGGTACAAATTTAAGCATTCTGATACATGTTTCTTAACCAAAATTTCACGCAGAGCACGATATGCGCAACGAAAATGACTGAAACCAACTTTTAACGAAGATATTAACGTTTTTATTTCACATTGGTTATGAGGAATTTGAACTGCCCGCTGACAAGAAACTCAAAGGTCTACGTGAGTCAAATCGCGCACTACAACGGTTTCAATAAGATTCTCAATCGAGTAATGTTCATTTCTCACCATGTGTTGTTCAAACTGTAAGCAATTTGCTATAGCTGAGCCAAAGTGTCAAGATTGAGGTTGCCAGATTTGTATATCGCAAAGACTGTCATGATACCGTTTAGCGAGGGGTGTGAATCACGTAAAGCATTGAGTTTTCATGAGCGGGTGGTTTGAATTCTGGCATCAAGAATCATTAAATATCTTCGTAAGGAGTTCATTTCGGTAAATTTTGTTGTGTGCATCGTGTTCTACGTGAAATTTTGGTTAAGAAACATGTATCAGAATGCTGAAATTCGTACCTTATCTAGTGGTCCATTTTGTATTTAAGTAGAAACTACTGAGTGAACTGAACTCGACGATACCATTGGTTCATGAATTGAACAATTATTGGAGAAGATATGAAAAAATGATCTAATCTGCTAAAATATGTGTGTTTAAATGGGAAATGCCGCCAGATGACATCACTAGGCGGTGCATTTTCTCACTTTTAAATCTATTTTTATACTATTTCCCATATCAGAAAAAAATTAATAAAAATATCGTGAAATCAGCTCTTTAAGCACTTCTAGATGAAGCAATAAAAAATTTGCATGCAAATTCTCCATTGCAGCATTATGAAAGTATGTATTTATTTTCTAATTAAGTTCTTACAATTGCAAAAATAAAGAGAAAAAAGAAAGAAAAAGAGAAGCAAAACTCTCTTTTCCATGGGTGAATTTAAAGGGTGTCACTCTGTTCATTCAGGGGTTTTAAAAAAGTGTTCAGGACCCACTCTGTAAGCATGCGTAAAATAAATTTAAATTTTTCTTCTTAATTTACAGCTAACACGAGAATATTTCATGTTTCAGGTTATACTTGAGAAAAGGGCGAGGTGAAACAAGAATTTGCAAGATTTATGACTCTCCCTGTCTACCAGAATCTGAATGCATGTTTGCAATTAATAATGATGGTATCGGAGACGCAAAAGAGTGAGAATAAAAATTTCTGTGGATATTATTTGAGGGATTTAGAATAGCTTGCTCAAAAACGGTAAATAGGTAGTAGGTCCTGTCAATTTAAGAGTGTCAGCTGTTGCCCAGTTACTGCTTTTCACGGACTCTCTGGTGCAAAGAGGATTCAAAATCCATCCTTTCGAAGGAAAGTATCCGGTTTAGGAGATAAAAAGACTTACGATTTTAACACGCATCAGACACTACGGAGCTTCCAAACTATTCCTAGTAGGTCATTACTTTTGGAATGTCTTTTGGTTTCAATAAGGTTCCTAGAATTTTCTGAAGAATTAATCCATAAGTGCTGAGACCAAGAAATTGACCAAAAAAGAAACTCAAATTCCAAAAAGAACTTCAAATTCCATTTGAATTCTTACACATGATGTCCCGTTTTGAACCTTTCTTTCCTAAATAATGTAACCATTTATTGGTTCTATTGATCAATATAAATTAGAAGAATTTGATAATATCACAAGCCAATGTGGTATGACATCGTAATTTTAATGTGTATAGAGTTCAGACACATGATTTGAAATGTCGGTGCTTTAAAAAATCTATTGTTTTATGTCATCAGTACTTACTACAATTCTTCATTAATCCATGGAAACCCTGCTCTTAAATGTAACTGTTCTGAAATCCTACTCAAGTATGATCCAAAGTCACATCTTCTACCTTACATCTTTTACCTTCTTCTTCTGTATCTGTCAGAAAATATCATCATTCTATGTACTTTTGTTCATCTTCAAGTTGGCTTCGCCAAGAAAACGAATGAAGTCTAATTTAAACTCTCCTTCTGCTTCTCTAGAGTTACCATTTTTGCTCCTGGAGGTCCAAGTGGAGCTTCTAAGACTTTTCAGAGCAATTATCTCTAAGATAAAAAATTACAATTATGTTACTAAAACGAAATGGATTTGTTAGAGATCTTGTCAATTGACTTTAGAGGTTTCTCAGGTATCCTTATTCTCGCATATCTCTGAGATACTCAGCTTAAATACTTTTTCGAGTTGTAAATTTAGCATTATACAGCTTTGGTACTATTATTTGTGCCGTCTTGTATCTCATTCTGCAATTATAGGTAACTGAATTTTTTACAATTCTCAAGTTTAAATTGTGGCAACTTTTGCTCAAACTATTTTGCTTATGTTAGGTAATTTTTTCTTTGATTCTCAAATTCATTGATTTATTGGTGACATTCAATTCTGTCTTGACACAAATTACACCCTCAAAGAACTGCAGAGCAATGAAGAAGGGAGCAAGAAAGGTTGACAAAAGTCAGTCACAACATGAACTCAATTTGTGAAGAAGAAATGAATACAAGATTGTGAAATAGATGCATAAATTTGTGTTCGTACTATTCAGTCCTTTCTGAGGAATATTTGCCTGTTGTAGTGCAGTGCTTACTTACGTTAATAAGGGATCTATTGATGTGACTGTAATTTAATATTCTCTGATTTGGTGGAATTAATATTGGTGATCTATGGCCTAAGTCAATAATACCCCCGATTAGCATTGAAATTTTTCTCTTTACAAAAAGCAGATTGTTTTCTCTGTGACACAGCGTCAGAAATTGAAGTATCCAAATGTCTACATACATTCGAATTTTAGTTGTGGACTTGATTTAATTCCATACCCAGATTTATTTATCTTTTTGTGGGGAATTAACTCATTAAGTACTTGCTAGATCTCAATTTAATTTGAAACCTACTTGTAACTGAATTTTTTCATTTTGACGCAAGGAAATCTGCTTTCAATAAACAAGAACTACACATCGAGAAGAATCATATTTGTTATTTTTTAAAAGAAATATTCTTCCTATGGTGTATCCTCAATAGAGTTATTGTTCAATGTATCACTGTGATGACTGCAATTCACATCAGAGAATGTTGGCTCCCTGTAAAATTATTTTCTAAGATATTATTTTGACTGTCTAAAAGTCATTGTCAACACTTCAAATGTATTTTTTTAAACAGTTTTCTTATTTATGTTGTACATATTGTCTTTCAGAGTAAACATACCTCTCATGTAATTGAATCATTCTTACATTATTTATTCTCATAGGCCTGTTTGAATCAGTGAGAATGAAAACGCACCAACCAGGAAAAATAAAATTTTCAAGAGACACAAAAAACTGCGGAGTGGGTGTAAGAGTTGATCAAAGAAAAAGCTTTTCGGTGCCTAAGGTTGAGACTTTGGAGCCCCTTCCTTCCTTCTCTTCAAAGACCCAAATTGACCTAAATGCGCTTTCTTCATTGGCTTCAATAAAAGTAAGGCATTTTTAAGTTTCCGTAAGGTTCATTTTCATTCTCACAGATTCGTTTATTTAAATTGAAAAGACAATGATAACCTACTCTTCTGATTTCGAAACGCATCAAGGCTGCTAACAATTTAAGATAGGCAAAATTTAAATAAGAATGCTACAGCTTGCGAATAAAACTGGTGTAATTGTTAGGTACATATTCCATGTCTGAAACTTTCAATGCTGTCAGCTGAAATACTCATTATTCCAAGTTTGATAGATAGGAACCATATTTTGGATAAAAGCGATTCACGAGTTGTTGCTTGACATGGTATGGTCCCTTCTTGCTGAATGCAGTCTAATGATGTTCAAGCTGTCACTGATTGAATAAATTAATAACAATGAGTAATTTTTAAATTAGGCTGGGAATAATATTTAGGACACTGAAATATTGAATTTTGATGCCTAATTTACATCAATTTCTGTTTCTTTGGAGGTAATGATGCCACGCAAAGAGTGGACTTAATTATTAGCTTGACTGTCTTATACGTAGCCAATATTAAACAGACTATGAACAAAATCACATCCAAAAGGTAAAGCTTGTACCAAGGTAAATTGACTGCTTGTGATTTCAAGTAAGAGGCACCTTTATGTCTGACAACATATTCTACCCAGTAGATTGCTGTGTCCATTGGGGACATCGGTCGGTCCTTGAATCGGTCAGAAACAACCTTTGCTGTCTCAGCGTACCTATGAAAATAGCAATTAGGAGAAGAAATTAGTAACAGGCAAACTGCTAAGTCATGAGATTAGAGCATTTAGAGGCTGCCAAAAATAAGAGAGAACTTTTATGCTGCATTTAGTAAGCTTCGAAGTTTTTCTCTAAGAAATTAGTGTATGTAAATGAGAGGTGTCTAGGTGAATCTCAGTGTGTCATGGAGTAGCTAAGAATTTTATCTGGAAGAGGTCATGAGACCATCAACTCTTTGTGAAATTAAAGTTGTATTGAGGGACAGAATGCGAAATTTTCCTAGGGATGGAGCACACAATTTTGGGAAAGCCAGGGGAGTCCCTCCCTCCCTATATTTATGCCTGTAGATGAGCTATAATAAGGTTCATCGAGCTAAACAAACTCTGCAATAATGTTGTGGCTGTTAAAATAGCTTTACTAAAATCTGAATCACTCGTCTTTCATTCATCCGCACTGCCCTGTAGGTCTTAGTGGCTTAACGACCATTTCAACAAATGTGACCGAAAACTGCTTAGCTTTGCCAGCGCTGGAAACTCCATGAGGTGCCAATAAGATCTTAGCATTATTCTCAAGCACCTCATATCAGAGCATTTAATATACCTATTGGCAGGGCTGGATTAAGGGGGTGGCCACATGGGCCGCGGCCCATGGCGGCAAAATTTAAAGGACGGCACATTTTGCAATCTTTTTGAAATAAATTACAAACGAGAAAAGGCGACAAAATCTCTCATTTCCTGAGAGTAAAAGTATAGTAATTTCTAATTTTGTCGTCTTTCGGTGATACAAGAGACAGCACCTTAATTAGTCGAGTTAAGAGAGAAACCAAACACGCAATTTGACCTGAAACGGAGCGGCGCGGCGGTCGGCATGAAACACATAGCGCATACAAGACTGCATGAATACTTCACGCATTGCGTCAAACGCGCTGCGGTCAGCAGCAGTCGGCTTGAAACGCATAGCGCCTACAAGACTTCATGAATACTTCACGCATTGCGCCAAACGGTGAGGTTAGCAGCGGTCGGCGCGGCGGCGTGAAACGCATAGCGCCTACAAGACTGCATGAATACTTCACGCATTGCGCCAACAGTGCGGTCGGCGCGGCGCGGCGTGGAAGTTAAAATTTTTAACCACATTTATGTTTGTTCTTTCATAATTTTTTCGTTCGTTTTTCATAAATGAAAGGCCTTGTCCAAACAGGGATGGGCTTACGGAACTGAAATTTTGTTAGTGTTGACATAGTCCAGTCATTCTAGCTTTTTACCTCGGACAAATTAGCACAAACTTTTCCTTTGGTATATAGGGTCTCTAGGTACCCAATAAGACAGAAAAAAAAGTTTACCAAAAAATTCCACCGGGAAAGTGGTCAAATCGCAGTTTTTCAAAATGGCGGCTTACGGCGATTTTCAAAGAGGACGTACATTCGGATTTCCCTTTATAACTCAAAAATAATGCGTCAAACAAAAAATTGCAACACATCAGTTTGAAAGATCATAAAATTTTGATTAAGAATCATATACAAAACTTAGGCTTTTCTTATTTTTTTCTTTCCGAATTTTAATATTTAAAAACAACAACCGGCAAAATCTGCTGAAAATTCACGATTTTTCGCGTTCTTGACCAATTTTAGGTCAAAATAATTAATTTAAGGTTAAAAACAACGGCACCACTGAAAAGTACGCTAAATTTTACATAAGTATACCCATTCATTTTACCTGTTTATCTTATATGACCTCATTGTGAGACGGATCAGTCAAAAGTATGAAATCAATATTTAACAACAAATTCAGTTGTTTTTTTCCGTTTCCAACGCTTTCGATCAATTATTTTTCGAAAAAAGTATAACTTATATATACTTTTTAGAAAGGTGATAAAATTTTCAAGACGAATAACACACTGGTTTTCCTTTAAATTTTACAACATGTACCCGAAAAGCGTATTTAAGGGAATTACGCTGAAAACTGATTTCTCTAGAAATTTCAGAATTTCAACAATTTTCGACTTCTTCACAGCTAAAAACTGAGAATACGATTCAACGATGGTAATAATCGTTTAGTGCATAAAATTTCCCAAAAATTGCATACCTAAAATTACTGTTTCGAATTTTTTAAAGAGGGTTAGATATGACGTTAAAGTTGTCTATTGGAAAACCCAGCTGCTCGGTTACGAATATTTTTCTTAACATATACCCAAAATTTTCAAGTTTAGTAATTTTTGTTTGAAGTAAACTTTATGGTACCAATGTAATGGCATATGAAAGAGAAAAAAATGTCAATGAATAAATTTTTGAAGGTATTTAAGTGTACTTAGAAGCCAATTTTTGAGATGGTAAAAATTTACAAATTATTCAATAACAAGGCTTTGTCTCAGGTTTTTGTGGTTTTTCATGGCTGCAAACAATTTTATTCATCAAACCATGGTAATCAGCGAAAAGCTGGTAAAATTTTATGTAAGAAATGTACCTTTATTTGTATTTTTGGCGTCTCTTGTGAAAATGCAGAGGCAATGTTGAAAAAAATTGCAATTTACCCGAAAAAAATTTTCCCGCTGTTTTTCTTATTTTTCACGTGTTAAAAGGAATTTAAGAAAGAAAACAAAGTGCGAGATGAAAAGTTCATACAATTTCCTGTAACATAGGACAATTGAAAGTTGCCGTAAAACCTTTTAAAGGGGTCTTATCACTGAATTTCGGTTTAAAAAAAGTTTTTAAAAAAATGATGAAATGTAATTTTTTAGTTATTTTTGAGATTTTACCGCTTTAAAGTGAGCTTTAAAGTTAAAATAAATAATGTAACAGAAAAGTACGTTAAATTTTGGTCTAGAATAGTGTGTTTAACATCCTTTTAAGTAATTATATTTGCCGGTAGGATAATTTCTTCTGGGATCAAAAATTACATTTTTCTGAAAAAAGACCGTTTTTAGCTCGATTTTCCTAATTTTTAAGCCTTTTAAAAGTGTTTGATCAAAAAACCACTGTGATCACGTAAAAATACATAAAATTTACAATAAGAGAGGGTACCTTGTTCCAAAAATTTCCATCATTTTTGGGTTTGACACGGCTTTATTTAAAATTGTGAAAAATGGCAATATTTACAGAAAATTAAGTTTCTATGCAAAACACCATCCCTGAAAAGGTCATATCAATACAGCAAATATTCCATCAATCGTGAGAAGTTATTTAAATCATTTCTGGAGAGCAAAAATGAATTAACGTATTATAAAATAAATAATAGGAGGGGAAACTGACCCACCTCTTCCTCCCTGCTTTCTACAAAGAGTGCTAATGGATATATGACCGCCAGTACGGAACTAACGGATACTTCACGCATACAAAGTGAAGACAATTTTCATCGTATTTATGCATACTCTCACATAAAAATATAGGAATAGGACAGAGCTTGGCGAAATCGGCACATTCAAGGATTTTTAAAAACATTGCGGAATGGGACATCTCACATATGAGGGAAGTTATTACGATGCGAGCACAGCCGCCGCGCCGCGAAGCGCTTTACGTGAGGGATTGGGCTGTGTAATGGCGGCAGCTCGGGGAGCGGGTGTTTTTGCGTCGGAGGAATTAATAGTAGAACTAATAATTATTATGATAAAATCAATACACCATTGAAGGTTTGGAACTTTTGGGCGGCCAACTATAGCGTAAGCGCGCACAAGGATTATAACGAAAGAACAGATGTCAGTGGGGGGCGGGGTTGTCAACAGGAAAGAGGGGTATGCACCTATGCTTTACGTGACGTACCGCAGGCTCGTGTGAAATGAGGGTATCTAATGGTAAGTAAATAAGAAGGAAAATAATAAAAACATTAAAATTTTACTGCCCTTGGCATCTTGTCAGCCGAATATGCGACATTTCGCACATTATTTAATATTATTTAGCTTTCAATAGACCGAGTAAAAAATTAGCAGAGCTTTTATTTCATTACTCGGCTTTGTATTTCTTAATCTTTGTCAGTTAAATATTCGACGATACTAAAACAATTGCATTTTAACACTTATACTCTCAATTAAACAGCTTGGAGGACGAGGCGCATAAGTGCTATTTCGAGAAAAACATGTTTAAAGTTGCTAACTATTATACACAGCCTTATGGCAGGAAGAGAGTTCAAACTCACATCTTGATGCTTAAGCATTGGATGCTTCCGGTGAATTTTTCACAACTTTATTTCAAACCTAGAATTAGTTGGAACCACTAAAATGTGTCATATTTTTCGGAACCTGCACTTGGGCGCCTTGTCCTCCGAGCCCCTCAATTACTTTTTTACCCTGTCTTATTACCTCATATTATAAATTTTTAAACCGAAACTGCCAAACTTTGGTCAAAATACTAGGTAATATTAAATGTCATGAAAATTAGCCGATAAACAGATATATTAAAAATTAAGGCCGCCATCTTTTTTCCACCATCTTGAGTTTGATTCAGACTGAAAGTAACGTCAAATTCGAATTTACCAGATCAAAATACCAGGATACACCGAGTTTCATGAAAATCTGCCGATAAATGGGTAGTTTTCAAATTGTACCCGCCATCATTAATTTTAAAAAATTATAGCCACCACCTTCTTCCCACCATCTTTGATTTTAATTCTGGTACCCTTTGAGTACCACGCCCGAGAATACTCGGGTTGCGGCAAGCCACCGTCACAGACCACGCCCGAGTATTCTCGTGCTGCGCCTCGCGTTCGTATTTCCCGCTCTAGCTCCCTTGTTTTTCAATGAAATTGGCATACAGCATATGCGCACTCTGTCGGCAAATATGTGAACTACACCTTTATCTTATCCTTGACAGAGAGCGCCACTATCGGCGGCCGTATTCCTAACGCGGCCGTCAAAGGGTTAAATTCGACATCAAATTCAAATTCTCTAGGGCTAAATTCAGGGTTATACTAAGTTTCATGCAAATCAGTCGATAAACAGGTATCTAACAAATTATTGCCGCCATCTTTTTTCCGCCATCTTGAATTTTTCAAATTCGAATTTCCTAGATCGACATACCGGGGTACACCAAATTTCATGAAAATCTGCCAACAAATAGGTGTTTTGCCGTTTTTTTCTTAGAATCTTTAGCTGCGATAGTCCAAACAGTGAACGGATAAGATATGCCCCCCCCCCCCCCCGGTCGACCATCCTTGCTCTAAGGTGCTTCTCCCTTTACTATGTACCATGACTATTAAATTAATAACACAATTTATTTCAAAAATAGTCGAATATACGTGAAAAAGGGTCACATTAATCGAAATTTAAGCCAAAATTTACAAAAAGTAAAAAATGTCGAATCTGACACAATTCCACAAAGGCCCTATAAAGGTCTTATACCTTCAGTAAAATTTTGATGTAATATGTGTTTTGAAAAGAAAATTTCACGCTCTTTCCATTGGTGCCAACAGTTTTGAGAGAAAAAATTCTGCCAAAACTGTATCTTAAAAGTTACAAACCAAACTTGAAATTTCAAGAAAATTCTAGCCTTTTTTTTCGGTGTCTGACCTCGTAGCTCGGCACCAACAAGTCAAAATTAAAAAAACTTATACATGTTTGTAAGCAGAATTTTATACTCTAAAAAAATGACAAGAATGATTTTTTTCACTGGATGCACTAGAATCACGCAAAATTGGGGAAACGCTGACGAAGTCAACAATCAATTTACACGTAATTTCAGGCGGCCGCCATTTTGTTATAAGCAATTTTGACTGTGTTCCCGAGGGGGGCTAATGGTAAACTTTTTTTTGGGGGCTCCAGACATGTTTTGGAGCGCTTTAAAGCACAAGAGAAGTTTGTGCTAATTTGTCCGAGGTTAGGCCCTTTTTTTGGCTAGAATGACTGGACTAACAGGGCTTTCACAAAAAATGTGCCCAACACGAGTAAACGCGTCTCATACACCCCTCCCCCACCGGCACGTTCACTTGATGGTTTTTATAGATCGTATTCGATAGATCACATAGGTGAGATTATATTGATATCGATTGATTCAATATGTAACCAAAGCCTCAAAAGTCAATTTAGAAATCTGAGGTAACGGGTCTTAAGTGATCGAATTTTTATTCTCTCGAGTACCAAATGGCAATGAAAAGTGAAATTGTTAGGAATTTTCTCATTTTCAGCTTTTCCAAATTTTTGAAGTTATGTTATACTGTTTTGAACCAAACGATACATCGAACCACTGTCGAATACGATCAATTGATGTTTCAAAACAAACGAGAATAAGGGGGCGGAAAAATACAGACGGCCCACGGGCGGCATGTAGGTAAATCCGGCCCTGCCTATTGGAGATATTGGATACTACTTGATAGGTGACAAACACCCCTGTGTACAAAATATGACCAGGATGCCTAAAACTTGAACTTAAATTTCTTTCATTGAACCAATAAACTTTTGGCATCAGACTAGGTATGAAAGATGAAATCGCCTGAAAATGATTTAACTGTGAGAAATCAGTTTGAAGAGCTACGAAACAAATGGCAACTATCAGATTGTATCTCGCTGTACACAAATAAATCATAGTACACACTTTATATTTCATTCACCTAGAATCGCTGAGCAGTTTCGTAATGAGCCGGAGGATGTTCTCCTTGGTGAGATCAGTATAGTGTAAAAATAGTCCAAAACCAACTTCCTCGGCATTCTTCATATTGTCGAACTGATCAGCGAAAAGTGGCATTCCCAATACCGGTGTTGCTGCACTGATCGATTCGATCAAGCTAAACAAACCTCCATGGGTTATGAACAACTTGGTGTTAGGATGACCTGCAAAAAAAAAGAAAAAAAAGAACATAATGTTCAAAATGATAGCACAGATATCTACGTTGGTACTGAATTCAATTGTGCCTAAAAGATTGTTTTTTTTTTTTTTTTTTTTTAAGAAGGGAGTATGAAGAACTGAAAGTACATACGACCCTCTAAAGCCGACGCATGAGACGCATGTCACATTTAGTATGAAAAGATTCAGAAGAAGGTAACGCTGTTAAGTGTGTAATCGCTGATAAAGTTAGGCAAGTATACCCAACTGCCACATGAATACTTTATCATTTTATTTACATACATATTTATTATTAATTTCTTTTTTAGAATTTGATTTTATACTCGAATCGCCCAAGCCTCGTGCAAATGACGCCGTACATGAATGCAATGAGACACATTTGGCATCACAAGAGGAAAAATTGAGGGAGCTCCGGCTTTTTCAAATGGCTGGGTCTGGATACAACTATTCGTGTTCTCAGGATAGCCGTGATGCATACACAAAAAATTGCAGGCGCTCCGATTTTTATGAACAACTTGGTGTTAGGATGACCTGCAAAAAAAAAAAAAGAACTATACGTTCAAAATGATAGCACAAATACCTACATTGGTACTGAATTCAATGTGTGACTGTGCTTGTTAGTTCTCAAGGGTTTTCTACGTTGCATTTACAGTCGTGTTTATCATGAAATCCCCGAAATTCAGATGAGACGTGTACCATCCCGGCAGTGTTGCCGAATGATGCACATTTTCCACCAAAAACATTTCCATAAGCATAAAGGCATCGCGGTTGTCAATCCCGCAAATTATTACCAATATGCATTTTAGCAATTTGCAATATTTTGCAACGCTGCCATGGTGCTGCACGATTCTTCCGAATTTCAAGGATTTCATGGTATGTACGATTGTAAATGCAACATAGAAAACCCTTGAAAAGTAACAACCGTTGCCATACGTTGTGCCAGGAAAAACTAGAGCGCCTGCAATGTTTTGTGTATGCAGCCCGGACATCCCGAGAACACGAATAGTTGTATCCAAACTTAACCATTGATAAAGCCGGAATACCTTCAATTTCCTCCGCTTGTGACAGCAACATTTGTCACTCACTGTCAGTGCATTCACATGTCGTTTTTGCACAAAGTCAGGGTGTAAAGACGAATTTGTTTTTTCTTTTTTTTAAAAAACTGTATTGCTTTAGAGAACCCTTACTGGGCATTTTTGACGTAAAATTTTCAAAACGTAAAATACAAGTAAAAAAATCATTAAAAAAGTTATACTTGGGTACTAATAAAGAACCATAAAAATTTTGGTCGGCATTTTTAGAAAAATCCCGAACAAAGAGGTTTCCAATTTCTGAAAAATGTCTAAAGAATTTTTTCTTAGAATACTAATATTTTCCAATCCAAGGATTATTCTTAACGCATTATTTGACAGTCGTTGCTCCCCAGAGAGTGCACGCTGCACCTACAATAATCTCACTTTTAAAATGCAGTAACCAATGCCGAGGTCACGCGCAAGTAAGGGTTTGCAGTCGTAATTTTGCAATTTTTATTTTTCCCCCTCCAAATCTGTGCCAAACTTATTCGAATAGTTTAGACAAACTTGAAATTCTTTTTCTGGTTCCTGACTCTCGTCGATTGCTCACAATGAAGATGTTGCATGTGTGAGGAATTTGCGATTTGACTGTTGTTTCTTACGTAAAAGTTCGCGAGAAACACGATGGTGCCACTGGTTTTCTCTGAAATCAACTCCCAGGCTCAAAAAAAGCTCTCAAGTTGAGGCCAAAATGGAGGGGATATCCCACCCTACTCTGAGAGTCCACGTCTACGTCAAGACAAACTCTCCATGCAAAGATAGGGAGCATTACGTTGACAGGGCTGCCACTTTATATGGGGACTCCAAAACTGAAAACACGGCGATCCTGCTAATGTATTTGCTCCCTATCTTTGCATGGAGAGTTTGTCTTGATGTAGACGTGGACTCTCAGGGTAGGGTGGGATATCCCCTCCATTTTGGCCTCAACTTGAGAGCTTTTTTTGAGCTTGGGAGTTGATTTCAGAGAAAACCAGTGGGACCATCGTGTTTCTCGCGAACTTTTACTTAAGAATCAATGGTCAAATCGCAAATTCCGCACACATGCAACATCTCCATTGCTAGTGCCCGGTATTCGCACCAAAACTGGAGTGATACGTCGGTTTCAAAAAATAATGACTCACGGAGAATGTCAAGTTGTGGGAGCCAGCGCATCATTTTGACGTTCGGGGGCAGATTCTGGGCTTGAGGGTCGTCCTCGCCCCTCCAAAGGACCCTTTGCGGTAGGGCTGCGAAGGCGTCGATCAAGGCTCGCTTCTTTTGCGGCTCGAACGAGGCAGCGTCCAGCATGGAGCCGAGGCTGAAGTAGATGACACCGTGCTCGGCGCCCGAGATGAACTCCTCCAGATCCTACCGCATTCAAACGCACTAGGACATACACATGTAATGTTCCAGAAATAAGCTTGCATTAATGGTAGCTGACCACAATCTCGCTTTTCCCTCATCAGGGAAGCTCAGTATCGGCAATTCCGATCTCCTCACACATAGGCGGATCTAAGGTAGGGCGCACTGTGCTGGATCAAGTCAATAGGAGAGGTCGGACAAAATTTGGAAACTTTAAAAGCTTAAATTGATCGTTACATCAAAACTTTGAGATTGCTCACTTATGCTAATTTTAGTAAAACTTACGAGCATGTCCTCACGCAAAAATTTAAGTTTGCAAAATTTAGCCTTTCAAGCTATTTTTTCAGCTTTAATGAGAATCACCTCGACTGCATTTCAGTTTCTCATTTCCTAGTTTTCTCTCACGTTTTATAACTTTTCGCAAAAAACTTAACTTGAAACTTTGATTTTTTCCCCATAAATTTCCAATACTTGCTTTCAAAGTTTTGACGTAAAATATTTCTCAGCTTCCTGCTGAATGACAAAACATGAAAGACAATAAGTAGGCAAAAGCCTATTCAATAAGGCATCTTCATAGAGGCTGATTCTGGCTAAAGTCGTCCGTCAGACGCACGTGATGAGCCGATCAGTTTACCTCCTAGAAATTTTTGATGATTCTTCCTTGTTGAATGGAAATTATTGAGGTATAGACGAAATTCCCTGTGGAAGATTCAGGACGAATCTTAAATAGTAATAGGGTCAATTATTCTTCTGCAGAGGCCCAAAATCGACACTTACTTTTGAATATCGACGGTGAAACTACCAAACCACGTATCTCGTTTGCGGTGTTTAAAAATCTACGCTCGCATTTTATTTTTTTGAGGTATACCAAATCAATATCATTCCTTGAAATTTTCACAGAATTTTCTGCGCACGAAGAGGAAAAATCACAGAAATTTTCAAGACTGGACGTTAAGTAGTTTTTCATTTAAAAAATAAAGTATGACAGGAAGTCTGCGACGTCGCAAACCGAGATACGTGGTTTGGTAGTTTCACCGTCGATATGCCCTTAACTTGCAAAAACGCCCATTTCCAATTTGCCGATTTAATAAAACACGACGGCGATTAAACAGTTTGAAAATTTTATAAAGAATTGAAATCAAAGTTTTACAAAGAATTGGAGTCAAAGCAGACTAAAGGCCTCAACATATGAATAAGAAAATTGAACAATTTTTCAAAATTTCCCGGGAAAGAATCCCTATGAGTTCTTCGCCTCTCACAGCTAATTACTTAAATATGGCCTCGCGTTTTCCCCATCTAGTAATTGTTTTATCCAATTGACTATACTGCCGTGATAAGGAAAAACGCCGTAAAGGCCCTCAGGCATTGCCATATTTTCTTTAATAAATTACGAATTTTTGGAAAAATTTGCAAACGTTTTTCCTCCTATTTTTCAAATAATTTTGTTTGCAATTTCACCTATATAAATTTCCTGAAAATCCCAAGGAAAAATATCCAAAGCTTCCTTCAAAAATGAACATTTTATCAAAGGAAATTTGGAACTTTCGAATGTTCATACGGCGTTTTTCCTCAGCACGGCAGTATAGTTATACATATGCCTGTCTCACCTGGGGTAGTTTTTTCGGCGCCTTCAAATTTAGACCTGCAACTTGCACGGCACCTGGCGGCAATGCACGGGCTGCCGTGATGCTCGGATGCGAGTTAAGGAGGAGGAGGCTCGTGTTTTTAACCAGCTCCGTGAGCGGTGGCATGGACGGCCCGAAAAATTCGCTCGCAATCTTCTGAGCAGCTGGTTGGTAGTACACTCTGTAGATAAGTTGGGTAGCTAGGAGATAGAATGAGTTACAGAGTCGCCCCCAGAGAGAATCGTCCGAGCCGAGAGGGTAGAATAGCGTGGAGACGTATGCAGGGTTGTTGGACATGCCGAGCCGGTCTGAGTACCACGGGTACGGCACCGAGGATGAGGCCCCGATCAGTGGCGCATTAAACCTTGAGAGAAAGTAAGCAGATTCAATCAGAATTTAATCCTTAATACGCCCTTTACAGCGCTCTTTGACGCTCTGTGACGCCTAACCGACACTAAACTCGGTCCTCCCATAACCCATCAAGGAGTTGGCACCCCCTCATTTCATTTAAAACCTCCTGTCACCGCTCTCTCACTACTCTCACGCTCTTATGCACCCCTTTATGCCGCCCCTTTTGTGCTCCTAGCATATTCTATCAGAATTAATAGACGTAGAAATCCGCTCAGCTCTTTTAAATAATTTGTATTTTTATTCAAAGAGTCCAAGCAACCCGCCACCACGACTGAGCGGGCCGCTTATTGAAATTTTGCATGTGTTGTCGTGCAGAAATAGATGACAAAGATTAAATGGCGCAGAGTGATTGGATTGCTGTGTCTTATCGCTGCTTTGTCGGATTGAATGGACAACATGCTATCGGGACCTTAAAAGGTACCTTTAGATTGTCGTCAATTCCACCCAACATAGGCACGACAAATCAGCTATAACACATAGCAGACCAGTCACACTACGCCATTTAGCCTATCGACGGTGAAAGTCGGCAATCACATAATTCGTTTGCGGTGCCTCTACGTCATTTTTTTAAAGGAGAAGAAATTGGCATTATTTCTTGAAGTTTTTGCAGAATTTTCTTCGTATTGAGAAGAAAAATCATGACAGTTTTAAAGAATTGCCGCTGAGTAGTTTTCCGTTTAAAAAATAAAGCACGAAAGGAAGTCTGCGACGTCGCAAACCGAGTTATGTGATTGCCGACTTACACCGTCGCTATGTCATCTACTCCTATGTCCGTCAGCCTTTAGGAAAAAAAAAAATTTCAACAATTGGCCTGCGCCGAGTACATACCTGTGTGCGAACGGGACGAAGCAGTCCGTGTTGAAAATTTCAGCGATGACAGCGTCGAAAGCGGCGTCTGATTGGTTGAAACGGCGCATGATGTCACTTTCCAGAATAGTTTGACAGCTCTCGACACCTATGTCCAGGATGTCATGTATAATGGCCTCGAAAACGCTTATGTCCGCCACGCGATTTATCGTTACGTTGCCGAGTATTGGTACCAACCCGTGTAGGCTGAGCTCCGTGTAGTTCGCGACAGGCTGAAAAAAAGTAGAACTATACTGAGTTAGTTAGTTATTATAATTTTAAGACATTCAGCGTCTCAGGCTATTAACGTCTTTACAGATAATTTTGTTTAGATTTTTAAAGTAAGAGAGGTGAAGAGTTTTAGAATGTTGGTGGTAATATTGAGTTCATCGCATGTAAGAGGGTTTGTATTTCTGTTGATTGTAGGGAAGTAGATCTGTGATTGGAGATATCGGAGGGAAGAGTAGTCCATAAGTATGTGTTTGATGGTTAGAGGTAATGAATTGCAGAAGTGGCAGATGGGTTGGTTTTCTTTGGATATGATATGACTGTGAGTGAAAAAAGTGTGACCTATCCTGAGACGCGCAATTTGGACTTCACATGATCTTGTTTTGTGGTTAGATGTCCTTGGATATGGCATGGGGACTCTACGGAGACGATAACTATACTGAAATACATATAATACCTAATATGATAAATATGAACCTAATATGAAGGATATATAGCTGTATATCCTTCTTTATTCATTAACTTGGAACAACACACACTCTTTCAACTTTAATTTTTCCCCCCTAAAAATAGGGACTTCTTTCGGGTTTAGGGCCGGGTTGAGCCTTGTGGCTGGTAAAGTGCGCCGTATTATAACAAGAAGGGTGGCAAAAGCAAACGTCTCAGTACTATTACTCTGATCTTATGTCCTTTCATTCAAATCGTTTGAAGCGAATCTTTGCAAGCGACGGCAGAGAGCTAACCGCAGCTGCATTGTGACGATAGTTTAAAATTCAAGGCGCCTTCAATTGTTCCCTTATGCAACACAGACAATCCCCAAGTACGAACAGTTGTATCCAGGCGGTAAATACTATCACGCGTGCTCTGGGCTCGCGTTTCTAACTCCTTGCGCAGTCGAACCAAGCGTATTGATTTCATTTTTTTTTTTTAATGGATGCACAGAACTTTTCAAAAATTAGACTGCGTTTCATAGTGATGGAAGAGTATACTCCTCTAATTTCTTCAGAAAGAAGGATCATGAACAATTTAGTGAGCTCAAACTGCACAAAGGCCCGGAGGCAATAGAGGTTCATTTACGTAATCGTGACCTCCTCAAACGAACTCGCCCTTTGTTAATTGTTAGAATTCGACTCAGCAAAGAAATCATTGAGGAAAAGAGAAGTACCGGAGGGAGGGAGGTAAATAAAAATCAGAAACATTTTCCAACTGATAGCGATATTCGACAATAGTTCTTTCGTGGGAAAAATAAAATCTAGGCAATGCCAGATGTTTTTGCAAAATATGTCTCTTGCCCCTCTTCGCCTATAACATGTAAAATTTAATTTTGAAAAAAAAAAACCATACTTTTGGCGCCGTCACTTCAAAAAATCATTCAGTCCCCTTTTTCCGTTACAAGGAGCCATGAGATTACTCAGTAAATTACACGTTCATTTGACTCACCTTCTGTGCCTTCAGGTGACTGATGACGGTCACTTGATGGCCGCGGGCAGCGAGTTCCTTCATGAGCGGAATGAAAAATTGCGTGTGAGACCAGTTCTCGAAAGGGAACACGCCAAGAATTCTGGCCGGATCACTGGGGAGAGGTAGCACCAGGAGAGCGACCGCGATCAAACATCCCCGTAGATATAACTCCATTTTGAATGACCTCGTTTTGAAATTCACAGTGGACGAGCTCGCAAAATGATGCTTCCTCACAAGAGTCTCTAATGTACAAAACGAATTCTCACTTCTTCTAGCCGTTGAATAGATGGACCATTATCCAGGACTCTACAATAAAAACATAAGGTTTAGGTTAGAGGGTGTGATGATCACCTAGTCAAGAACGCAGAAAATAAAGTTCGCAAAAGTTAGGGCATGTTCAACAGCTTTGTGGAAATGTAAGGGGTCATTTCATCCAGCAGGCTGATTACTGGAATTGATATACAAAGCTATAGACAAAGATGACTAATTGAGAATATAGCGATCTTATTGGTGGAAGCGGGTGGTTTCAACAGACAAACGAGGTAAGGGATAGACTAACTGGACCGCATTTAACAGAAAGGAACCAAGCCACATCAGCTATTTCCAAATTTACGTGGGCTATTTATTTTTTTACGAGAGAACGTTTGTGTGGATTCCTTTGAAAATTGCAAGGAATTTGCCTTGCACTATGGAAAAAATCCACTGAAATTTGCACGAAAATCCGCACAACCGTTTTCACGTAAAAAATTAAATTGCCCAATTAAAATTGGCAGTAGCTGATGTGGCTTGGTTCCTTTCTGTTTAACGCGGTCCAACTAACGGCAACTCACGAGAGACCCTACAGTTATTCCATGATATTCTCCCATAGTCTGTAACAAGTACCCGTTTCAACCAATCGGGTCGCTCCATACTCATTTTGTCTTCTTCGTCTATAGCATTGTCTATCAATTTCAATAATCGGCTCGCAGGAAAGTGAGCAATCGTCGCACACCGGATCGAGTTAATATAGGAGAAGTCGGACAAAATCTGGAAACTTTAGAAGCTTATATTTTCGAATTTATGAAACGAAAAAGTTTAAGAGCAGCTCCATTGGTTTTTTCGTGAAATTTTCTCTCAGAGACACCCCTTGAAATTGAATTTGTGACGAAATAAACATCAAAATTTGAAATTTCAGCTGAAAATTTCATGTCCGACCTCTCATACTGGCTCGTTCCACTGTGAGTCGTTAGGGATTTGTTCAAGCGGGGGCATGGTACTCTTGTGTACTGCTCGTTGCCAGTGTTCGCGTACCGTGGTGGTACCGAATATGGATATGACAAAAAAACGAAAAACAACAGATATCGTACGAGCAAACGAATATATATAAGTAAACATACAGTGAGGTGACACTATATATAACGCTAAGTCAAGGCGTCGCGAACCCGGCGTACAGTGGATCGAGTCTATAGGAGAGGTCGGACAAAATTTGGAAACTTCAAACGTTTTTAACTCCGTTTATACCAAACTTTGAGCTTCCAAAAGTGGCTCAACTGGTTTCGTCATGACATTTCCGACAGCTCGCACCCCATGGAAATTAAAAATGGGACGAAATAAACACAAAAATTTGCGGTTTTAGACAAAACTTGCATGTCCGACCTCTCTAATTGACTCGATCCACTGTGCGGCGTGGTTGCCCGAGCGATGGCCGAAATCATATTGTCCGCTGGTTGCTTTGGCCCAGGGGATGATTATCATCCTGAAAAGAAAAGCGGCGAAAGCGAAGAAAAAGGTAGGGAAAGAATTCGAAGGAAAAGGTAGGGAAAGAATGCGAAGAAAAAGGTAAGGAACAATCCGTGCCGGCCTAACGGTTGTTTGCAAGGTCGCGGCGTCGCGGACAAGGGTGCCGCCTGGCGCGGGGGCGCAGGGTTGAAAAGGTAAAAAGGTGCTAAAAGGAAAAGATAAAAGATGAAAACGTAAGACAGGCGCTAGGCTAGGTAATGGACAGAGATAGATATGAAAAGGAAACAGGGTATGGCATCGTGCGAAGCCATCGGTAGGAACACTACAGTACCATTCACCATTATTCGAGGTGGATGTAGGATTAAAAAAATGTTTTCCAGGGAATGGTTGCTAAATTCATGTCTACAATATATCTTTCACTGATTTTGAAAAAAAAAAAAATATATACACCTTCAAGTTGACAATCTGTTCAGACTGTTTAGACAATATGTTAGATGTATCCTCACTCTACATATATTTTATTCTTAAAAAATTCGATCCGCGATCTTAGGTATACATATGTAGTTGTTTTGAAAAAAAATATAGACTTTTAAAGAATCTTTATCTTTTTAAGGACCCTATCAAATATGTTTGAACTTTGAAGGAATTCTTTCAGATGGGGATCTACTCTTGTTTGCCTCCGTCAAACCTCAAATGAGCATGTATAGTTCCTAAACGCAAAAATGGGCCGGCAGTTTACCGACTTGAAAATGGTTTCAGTTCAAAAACTCTCCAAATCGCCCTGGTAAAAATTGGCAGTAGAATCTGTGTTCCAAAATACCATAGACCTACAGCCGGCTGTAAGATTCCCAATAGCTTCTACAGCCGGCAAAACAATTTCTTACAGCCTTTTATAGCCGATGGCGATTAAGCAACAGCCTGGCGATAAAGTGTATGCTAAACGTTACTAATTACGGATGCTAGGACTTAGTGAGTTTTTGGACTACCGTTCTCTTTTTGGGCCGTAGTATCTTGATTTATTTTGCGAGGAAAGCTCCGTACTTTTGAAGGGCGCCTGCCATTCCTAATATGTTGGAGCGCCTTCAATTTCGTATGATACTGTGCAATACCTCTGATGTGAAATAGTTGCTTCAAGCGCCGTGATACGCTGCGGCGCGGCGGGCGGACAGCCAGCGCGTAACGCGCATTGACGCCTACAAACCTAACAGGGATACTTCACGCACTGCGCAATGCGTGAAGTATCCCTGTTAGGTTTGTAGGCGCCAGTGCGCCGCCGCTCCGCTTTGTGTTAGGCTCTAATATTTAATCTCGTGGAGTCAGCGTTTTTCAACTCATGATTTGAAATGTTTGTACACACTGTATGGATTATTCTCATTGTACTTGATGAAAAAAAATATGTAGTGTAGGAAAATATAATGTGCGTTTTGTGAATATTAAGGTGATTCCGTACAAACTTAAGCACACGAATTGCCACACAATTTCTTACAGCCTTTTATAGCCGATGCCGAAAAAGCAACATGCCAGGCGATAAAGTGTAAAGCCCGGTGATAGGAACTATAGCCCGGCTGTATAATTTTTTATCGCTTCGAGTAGCCCGGCCGTATGATTTTTTCCACTTTCTACAGCCAGCTGTATGATTTTCAATCGCCTTCTTCAGTCGGCTATAAGAACTCCTATGGTATTTTGAAACGCAGCTCCTATCGCCAATTTTTACCAGGGGCGCAAAGGTTCAAATGGACTGCGTTAAGCAGAGAGGAACCAAGCCACATCAGATGTTGCCAAATTCAATAGAGCAATTATTTTTTTACAAGAGAACGTTTTGGCGGATTCCTTTGACATTTGCGAGTAATTTGCTTCCTACTACGCAGGAAATTCACCGAAATTTGCAGAAAAACCCGCAAAGCCATCATTGGGTAAAAAATTAAATTGCCCAATTAAATTTGGCAATGGCTGATGTGGCTTGGTTCCTCTCTGTTTAACGCGGTCCATATGTCTGTTTATAGGAGCAAAATGTTCCAAAAAATTGAATAACTTCATTTGTTCTCGCTGATAATCCGGATCAAGTGGCCTCCACCGACATAATAAAGAACCTTCTTTGAACGATATACCATGCGCAGTGTTGCTCTCGCGTCTTAAGCAACTTCACTCATCCCAATGTTAGGAGGTCAGGGTCACCTAGATTATGGAAAACACAGCAGAGGAGCCTGGCCATCAGAGACTTGAATTTTAAAATAATGATCATAAATTCATGCATTTAATGACCGCACAATAAATTTAAACGCTTGGCTTTGACAATCCTCACAGAATTTTTCAAAAGTATTTTTACGTATATTATCTCTTCATTGTATTATACTCACCAAATAGGTATCGTGCAGACCTTAAGGTCTTGTGATTGTTACATGCAACATAGAAACTTTGCACTCCAGGTACACCTGGAGCTACAAAAAATGGTTAGTTTATCTATTACAAGTTCAGCATCAACGGAAGTTATTGGACGAGAAACCGCAGATGTTCTGTCGTTTTTCAGACGAGAGAACATAACTCCACTTTGACGTTGCAAAATTGTCACTCGAAAATAGCAAATTTCTACCAGAAAACAGTTGGGAATGTTTAAATACAAATGTAAATTATTTTTTAGCTGACTGCACGCAGCAATCAGCAAATATCATTGACAGAAATTTGCATTGCCATATTCCTGTGAGAAATTAAATTGCTTGAGTCACTTTTAAAAACTTGGAATGGAATTGCGCTCTCCGTCTAAAAAACGACAAATTGTACATGTTGTTGATTGAACCTAAAAAGTTTGGTTAATATTGAGACTTCTCATTTGAACTACTGCTTCATTCATACATGACAAACCTGAATAGGTATGCTAGTGCGTTTTTTCTCTTTCGTGGAAGAATCCCCCCCCCTCTCCAGTAATTCATGATCTTTTTGAGTTAGTCTCTCAGATTATTGCAGGTAAAAAATAAAACAGAAAAAAAGGGTTTCCACTGGATTGCGTAAAAAAAATTACCTGGAACTCTATTGTCTACCATTCGACAGCGCAATACAAAGTTGACTGAAACTTTTGACAATTACTCGGAGATACTCACAATCAGTTAGAGTCTTTTTTATAGGCGAGAGATAGTGCAGCTCCCACATTTCCTAATTCTTTCGTAGCTATGCAATTAAGTTTATCTTGAGAGAGTACTTAAGTCATAGTTTCTATGATGGAACAAAAAATTCAGCTATCTCACCAGGCTTCTCAACACTCAATTCTGTATTAATGGATTTAAAGGTAATTAGCTCTAATGCCTTCATAATGAAATTGGCCACTAACTGTGATATTTTTTATCTATTCTGAACTCAGCTCTATTCCTGGTTGAGATATCCACTTAAGTGTAAATTTTAGACACATTGTTTGAACATGGCTAGGTACTTACCGGGGGCTCTTCCCATCCGCGTCAATTTTGAATTGAAAAATTTGATGGATCCTAACGTAGGGTAGAACGTATGAACCCGGGAACGTGGTAGATAACGTTGTTAAGACGACACCACACACACTTAAAACGTCATTCTGTATGCATTTCTTCGCGACACGACGATCGACGGCGTGAATGAAGGCCTCTTACTTGACTGGGCCATTATTGAGCCAATATAAACCACATGAATGAATCTCAGGAAGGTCAATCTATCCCCTCCATGACCAATTTCAGTCGTAGCATTCCATGTTGTCAAGCAGCATGCTGCCTTTGAAACTTTTGTTTCAAAAAGGCTGTATTCTAGATACCTCGCACTTACAATTGAAGCAAAGGAGCATAGCTTACATTTTAAGTTCCATAGGAGGCCTTGTGTAGTGTTTGTAGCGCCAAATCGATGATCGGAGGGTCCCGGCTTCGATTCCCGGTCAGGCGACCCGAGGTTGATGGCCTCAAACAACGGGCGCCTAGGACTGGTTGTTAGGGACGGAGGGGGGATGGGACTAAAGCGCAGGATTAGCCCTTGTGGGCTATTTGTAGTAAATAAAAAAGCGCAATGATTAATCGGGCGAGGCAGAAGTTAAATTCAGAGGTCTATACTACTGTTGGACCCAGGCCCGCCACAAGGGGGGGGGGGATACTGGGTCCTTAGTACCGGGGCCAGGGCCCCGGAGGGGCCCGTGACGCAGGTGACAAACCACTACGAATTCATGTGTAAACCTTATTGTCTCGTAAGGAAAAGTGAAAAAATTACCCTGAAATTTCGGTAAAAAAAAGGTGAATAAAGTTTAAAAAACACGCTAGGGCACTATAAAATTTTTCTTACTTTTTTAGAGATTTCTATCTATTTTCAAGATTTTGAGTAGTATATATAGAATGATATTTTTCTTCCGTTGTCGGATGCTTAGAGGCTCCTGTCTGGGCATCCTCGACTTCAATGGCTCAACTCCCTCGCCATAGACGTACGAAAGGGGAGTCCAGGGGGGCCCGGCTCCCCCTAGAATTGAAAAGTATCACCTGCCCCCCTCAAAAAAAATTTATAGATGTTTTGAATGCAACAATTCGAAAGTATTTGGTGCTGAAAGTAAAAAAAAAAGGCGTAAGTATTCTGCAGAAATTGATGGAAAATCTCCATCATAAGAGCTTCAAAATGCGTCCAAATAGATTTAAAATTTCAAAAATTTCCCGAGGGAGGCTCCCCGGACCCTCCTCTGCGCTAGGGGCCCGGGCCAGAAAACTGGTACCAGGGCCCGAGATGAGATGTGGCGGGCCTGGTTAGACTCAAAGCGTTCACCTCTTAAGTCATCAGTATTAGTGACGGGGGCGGACTGGCCCAAGGGGCAGGGGGGCGATCGTCTCGCCCTAAACTTGCCAGAAGAGGTTCCTCTGGAGCACCGGAGCCCCCTTTGACAAGTTTTAAGGTACATGAGGGGCCCCCTCTGGCTCTTCCTACGGAATTCCTCTGGGATATCTTTGAGCCCATGTTGATTGTTCGGAGCCATTTACACATTAAAATACACATCATGAAATGTCCAACGTCGCAAATCAAATCAAATGCAGGTTTCACACACTGTCTCCTGCACCAAATGGGGGCCGGGGGGGGGGGCCCTCCCTCGGAAAATTGTGAAAATTGTACCCTTCTCAGACTGAATTTAAGCCATTTTCGTGAGATATTTCTTAAAATCAGTTTTGAAAATATTGTGAAAACAGCGTGTAATTTATTGAGACACAGGCCGTTGAATATCAAATTCAACGTAAATTAAATTTTACGACGAGGGAGGAGGGGGTAGGGCTGAGCTTTACGTAAGCTTTCCATCCAATATTCAAAGAAAATGCAAAAATCCATTGTTCGTCGGGTTGAAAATAAAATTCAAGATGAAATAGAGGAAATCAGCACATCACCGATTGCTGACCGATCGGACAATGCTCCTGTCATTGCTCTTGATTCCCACTTCTACACTAAGTGGGAAGTTATAGCAGTGACTTCATCCATATGTCAACTTCATTCTTTTAACCATTCCAAAGACAAAAAAAATCTTCAATTTTGCTCCACGTATTTTTGTTCATTAAACTAATTGTAGGATGTAGGTATCATTAATATTTCCTATGAACTTACTTCAAAAATTTAGTTTCACTAATAAAAATTTTGGCCTAAAAATTGCATTGTTATTTTCTAAAAGATGACGTAATGCTTATATCTGCGATAATTGAAAAAAAAGGGGGGGGGGGTCAGTCGAGCCTTACGTAATTTTTAGAGGTGGAACTAAGAATAGGAAAAAGTGCCTCACGTAATTTATGAATGCCCCCTTCAAAGACCCCAACCCCAGTTTTCTTTTAGTTTTTTTGCGATTTTCTACTTCTTTCAAGAAAAATCCGAGAAAATTTCATTTACCTAGTTACCATTATTCTCCTTGAAACCAATAAAATGTACATGACAATTTTGATAGAGTTAGGAGAGACTCGCATTTGTTTGGTGATCGTCACCTTGTTTCGAAGTATATGCATGCACACTAAATGATTTGGAAAATGTGGCGCCAGTCGGCCTGCGGTCATAGGGCACGAGAAATACGAAACATGGCAACGCAGCGCTCGTCATCGCCAGAGACAAAAGCAAACACTCCCCCTCCCCCCACTTCTTCTCCCACTCCTTGTCCATTAGACTTGTTGAAACCTGTAGTAAACAATCCTCTCAGCGGGCCGGCCGGCCATAGAGAAAAGAAAAGGAGGTGTGTGCATCTTGAGGATTGTGTACCCTGTGACGTAGGTCGGTACAACCTGGTCAGCAAAATCCGGAATTCGAAGTGTGAAAAACGGACCACAACATCCGGTTTTTTTGTTTAAATCAACTCATGAGATAAGTTCAAACACTGTATGTAAAATGAATTTTTTCCATAAAATACACCGGTTCCAAGAAAATCGATGATAAAAGTCGCCGTTCCGACCTACGTCATCAACAAAGTCCAAGATGCCGGAAATGCAAGCACCTCCTCTTTTTTCTCACCGGCTGGCGGCCCATGCGGCCATCATGCCGCATTCCGCGACGGCGAGTATTCTGTTTCTTTCATCTTTCATCGTCTCTTGGTCTCTTCTCTCTTCTCCAAGCATTACGCATTCCCTATGAATGAACTCGCGATCGCGAAGTGACTAGTGACTTTTCGTGTCGTGTTTAAGCATTTGAATTCTTTGCATCCCTTATTTCTTTCTACAATTTCAGTTCTCTGTGTATTAACCGACGATCATGTCTGTCGCAAGTACCACGAAAGTGATGGAACGCCATGACGAATTTGCGTTCGGTCTTGGCCCCCTCCACGCGGTCGTCGCCTCTGAACCTCTGAACTCTTCATGAAATTCGCGTGTATTCCGAAGACATGTATTTTCTCGTTGTGACTTCCATCTGTAGCGCGTGGACTCGACGGTGAGTGAAGGAATCGTGGTTAATTTGCCGCGAATGAGGATAATCGTCTTGATTCTCTCCTGTGTTGGTGCCTCGTGTTGGAAAACCTGACCACCCTGCAACTTTGTTTCATTTTGATTTGGCACCCATCGGAATTAAGGTTTGAGATATCGCACTTATCCACATCTGATTTCAATTCTACCCATGCATGATTTCTTTGGTCTCTTTTCATTACGTTTTGACATATTTTACCCACATGATCCCAGAATTGAGGACTTGCTTGGTCGAAGGGCACACCGACCTGAAGCTTGTGCAGCCCGACCACAGACTTTGACTTCCATCGATATTGATAGAACTCGGTGCCATTCCAATGGAATACCCCATTGGAATGGAACTGAGTTCTCTCAATATCGATGGAAGTCAAAGTCGGTGGTCGGGCTCCCCGGGGCTGCTGATGCTGCTAAGTTCGTGCAACGTAGTTTTACAGTTACATTACCTACCTAGCTGAGAGTTCTGCCCTGAATCTTATCTCACCCTCTGTGGAAGTAACTTGACCGAGGATGAATCTTATTTAGGCACTGCAAATGATTCGACGAATTGCCCATTCTTACTCTCATTCACCGTTCTTGGTATTGAGTTTTTCTCCGAAGGCTCTCTCTTTCATTTTCCATGCTTAAATTTTTGAAAGGAAGGGTAATTCTCGAAAACATGTCATTGAACTACTATACATGGACAGTAATTTGACAGACAACATGCGTCTTGCTTTGTAAGGTAGGCGTTTCATTATAAAGGTGATTTAGACGAAAGAAAGTGTTTAACAAAGAGAAAAATGAAATATTACGTTCTATGAAGAAACATTCTTAAATTGATTGAAAATTCTCAACTCATTACACTTTACTGTAAAGAAGACACGCGGTGGTAAGAAGAAATTGGAAACCAATAAATTCTAAATTAAAGAGAAATGAGTGAGGGAGGGTACCTTTTAGGTCTAAACATTTAAGTAATATCTAATCCATTGTTTACATCCAAACCAATAGCGTCTAAAACTGTTTTCATCTAAATCGTTTAGATCTAACACGATAGCGTCTAATTATTTAACATCTAATGTTTGTTTTCTCAAGGAAACTAAATTTTTAGGTCTAAAAAAATAACAAGCAATTTATCCTGCCAATCTGATGGAATTTTTCCATCTAATGTGTTAAAGTCCAAAAATTTTACGTCTAAATAGTTGACGTCTAATTAGTTAACGTCTAATTACTTAGTTTGGGTCTACATGTCTATGTGTATCAGAAGGCGGGTGGAGAGAGAGCAGCGGCCATTGTAATGACGAAAGAGAGTACCTCGTGTGGCGCGTTATTTGAATGAATCGTCATTTGCTCAAAACAGCTGATGGTAAGCCCTCTGCTGCCAGTTTTCCGTCATTCGGTAATCACATATATTATTTGAATTTGACATCTCCAGTTCCAGCCACCTTTCGGTACTTTTAGCGGCCCGTTGTACGAGCTGGCCATGATGATGGCCCATTCTTACCTCCCAGTTTCAGTTAAATTTGAGAACTTTTAATGTTGCTTCCAGAATTCTACATCATCACAACATATGTTTGCTTTCTCTCAATTTTTTCCAAGGCGAAAAAAAAAAAAATTGGAATGATCAACTTGTCCTACTTAATTAGCAGCTGAAAATCGAGTCCAGAGGGATCTCTGAGCTCTCTGAGCCCATAAATGAATGTTTTTAATAATTATCATGTACGTACTGAATTATCTGTGAG